ATCAACAATGTAAATTAAATGAGGTGTCTTGAAACAGAAACACGAACAACACAAGGTTATGTACCGATCAGCTGATGAAAACGTGTGACCAGCAGCTGCAGGGGCCTAACCCTGTGTCTCCCCCAGGAGCAGTGGTCCAGTATTTGCGAATCCTGTGTTCAAGTGGGCCTCACAGAACACAGTTACGGCAAATAACACGACCTGACTGGATTAGCCCCATTTTACAGATGAAACAGTGAAGCGGACAGGGATGTGAAGTGGCAGCCCCCCGCGCACTCCAGCACACCATCCTCTTTTATTGCCTTCACAGCCCTCATGACTGATAACTGTGTTTACTCATTTACTTTCGGTCTGAGCCACTGCAATAGTCAGTTCCATGAGAGTTCGGGATTCTTGTCCACCTTGTTCCCTGTTACCTCCTCATGCCAAGAACCATTCCAGGCACATACCCAACCGAATGAATAAAGAAACCTCCTATATGTAATTGTATAAATATTAGGGGGATTGATACTTTAAAGGGAAAGGCAGTTACTTTCATTGTGTTAAATTCAAAATATTTAGCGAGACAAATGCAGGCTTCAGACTAAGTGGAGAGAAGAGAAAACCCGAAAAGAACACCAGAGCTGCCTGAAGTGGCGCTGTCTCAGACACCCGTGGGCAGGTAAGACTGCTGGGGATGGCAGCTGCTCAGCTGCACCAAGCTCCCGAGACTCTACAGAGGAAGAAGAAAGCTACACTCTGGAACGGTATTTATCCGCGACGGAAAAGCCAGCAAGCAGAAAGAACAGGCAAGAGCAGAGATGCTGCCTCCAGGCCCAGCCGCAGGTTGAACCACGTGTGAGAGAAGCTGAGGAGAGCAAAACCCGAGAGCTGGACTCGAACCTGGCCGTGATGCCACCCCTGCAAAGTGACAGAAATGTAGCCGAGACTGCCGGGGACTGGCGGCTCCGGAGCCGATTCCCTTCAAAGGTTTGGACACTCCTAGGCCAGGCGGAACTGATGGGCTCCGGAGGCCCGCAGCACTTCCAACATCGGGGGGAACTGATGAGCAAAAGGACTCCAGGATTTTCTTCTTGTGAATACAGAGAGGAAAATGAGGTAAGACCCTCTTACATCAACCCTACTGTAACAGACAAATAGCACAAGAACTCGAGACAAAGAGGCCGGATTCCAGAATTAATGTTCACGGCTGCTCTGAGCAAAAACTGAACAGTAAACAATAAGGATTTCAAAATTAAAACAAAAGAGCCACTTCAGTATTCTAATTTAACCTTCAAACATAAAGAAGATCTCAAGCACCGTGGACTGAGCATTCCATTCCACCTCAACACCCCGTACTCCCGAGTTATTATGAGAACAGGCTGCGACGCAATTCAACTCGTGCTCCAAAATGCAACAAGCAGCTTCAACAGGCCATGCTGGAAGAAGCAGCACACCTCATCGTCAGCTCCTGATTCATATTTTGGTAGCAAGGTTACAATTAGCTCACCGGTGGAGAATAAACCTATTTATAACACAGCAGTCCACCTGGAAGACACAATCATCTAAAAAGGGTTTTAGACAAAAGTGAAGCGCAGCTTCTTCCTGTACTGACTGCAGATTCCCAAGGTCCTTTCAGACGAAGTCCTCAGTCTAACCTTCCTGTGTTCACAGGCACCATTCTGGCCACCTCTCAGCCTCCATGTTCTTATGTAACATTTACATAGTGCCATAAACATACCCGGCGTTGCGTAAGAATTAAAACGTTGCCAAACCAATAAAGCCTAAAGCAGGTCACTCCCTCCAGACTGCCTTTGATTAGCAAAGGTATGCTGCCCGGCCTAAGATGTAAGGGCCTGTCAAGAGACAGAAATTAACTTGAGGAAATCTGAACCGGGTCCACAGAAATGCACAAAGAAGAAGAAATTAACCGCACTGTGACATATGATGCTTCTATCAATCCCAGGAATTACTCTGCCCCATAAGATAAAAAGTAACCCAACATTGCCTGGTCTCTGAAGTCAGAAACTGTGTCTAAAAATACCTCCCAGCCAACTGGCTATCAGTAAGTCAGTCTCACAAATGTCCCAACAAGAGCAACACAGACTAGTTCCTTACTTTACAGAGGCAAAACTGAGGCAGTCACAGAAAGGTTAAGTGCCTTATTCAAGGACAACCTGTAAGGGAGCAAAGTTCAGGGGCTGGAAAGCAGCCTCCTCCCTCCATCTGGCTCTAACCTTTAACCAGAGTAGCCATTTTATTGTTTTAATCACATCTGTTCCCGGAGCTCTTAACAAAACTAATCTGAGATTCTCTTTTCCTCTATGAGAGTTCACTTTCACCATAGTTCGAATTCATGTCCACTCAACAAAATTACAAGACTTGGCCTGAAATTAAATTTTTAGTTTACTCACAGAAATTAAAAATATTCCTATCAGAACCTCAAATGTCTCCCTTGTTGCTTTTGTCTTAAGAAATAAATATCACGCTCTCCTGCTACTAATTCAATTTTACATTTTCAAGTACTAATGTGAAAATTCCAAAGGCAGGCCTTAAAACATGGCCCACCTATCAAATGATGCTGTTTATAACCTGGAACTCATGCTTCTTATCACTGGCCTTTTACTAAGTCGACATTAGTTCACTATTTAACACAGACACCGACCCCTTGCTGCCCTCATGTCCTGTCCAAGTACTAGGCATCAGGGCTGGCTGGTTCTGCCATTCCTCCAGCCCGCCTCGAGGATCACAACAGAGGAAGTGCAGGGGAGGACAGCAATCAACTTCTTGTTATCCCACAGCCTCTATTTTCCCAGAACTGATGTCTTACTTGAAGCCTTTTGCAACAGTGGTCTCTGTAGCATGCACTATTGGCAACTAGATGTGTCCCGGAAAAAACTGTAGTGTCTGGCCAAATTTAAAGGCCTTCGAGAATGCTTGCTGGACACACAACCTAACTTCCAATTTACCAAAAAAAGAAAGCAACTTCCTATTATGCCCACCCATGCTCACGCCAACAACATCCATTTCAGGAAGGTTACAGAAAATGAACTCTGCCCCATTCAGAACCAGCTGCATTATCAATTAAACATTCAAGGCTCACAACAAGAAATATCCCACCAGACACTACACCAAACCAACAGGGACACGGCTGTTAAAAATCTTAGATATATTAGGAACAGGATAAAAATTCCTATGGAAGGAATTTAAAGATTTATTCATCACATGTAAAATAACAAACCTGAAGGCTGAGTCTCCTTACTTACTACCCTACTAGAGAAATAACATCGTGTTACACACTCCAAGAACATGGCCCATAATAAGGCCCAGCAAACAACATTCATGAAAACCATTAATTTACCACCAATGTCAGACTGTGTACATACACCTTCACCATGTCTATCAGACCCCACGACGCATTACCTATGCCACAGAGCAGCGAAGACCCAGGAACACGCATGAGGCGCCTTAGCAGAAGCATTAGCCTGTGAACAAAGACCCCACCGCACAGGCTGCACCACTGGGAACAAATATCAAGGCTGGAGGTAATGAACTTGTTTTTGAGACTCCAAAGTGGGATGAGGTCTTTTGTTGATTGTCTGGTTTACGAAGGAAGCCAGAACCCACCTAAGAACCATTCTTTTTAGTGGAGAGAAGAGAGCCACAGGACATACATTTGATCTCCCACTGCTGGAAGGTTAGGGGCTGCTGAGAAGTCAAAGCAGCAGGCTTTGTACATCGGGAGCCGATACAGACCTGGATCAGCTCTCCCAGATCTATCTGTGGGTCAGTAATCACTTCAATATAACTGCCAAGTATAACCTTCGTCTGCTACCCCAATGCCAACACGCATTTGAGACGACACCCTTCAGTTAAATATTTTAGGGTTTCATCTGCTCTCCTCAAGCCCCCCAAGCCTCACAAACAAGACACCCAGCTGAGTGTCCCACAGAAAGGGGCTACCTCTGCAGCGGGAAGGGTGCGGGTGCTACCAGGGAGCAGAAGCCTGTGGGGTTTGGAAGGTAAGGGGTGTGTGAGGTGGGGGAGTGTGTAGGGAAGGGGCTGTGCGGGAAGGTGAATAAATCCTGCCCAAGGGCCGGGAGCCGCTCCAGTGCTGGGGTCTTTAAATGATCTTGGGGGTGGGAGGCAGGTTCTAGGATGTCACCTGAAAGGTATCCACAAAGTGACGAAGTGAATGGGCCCCCTGGGGTAGGGTGGGAGAGGCGAGGTGAAAAGCAAATACACCTAGATGCAGATTAACTGTTCTGGAACTAGGTTTCCTAGGGTTCGAGAGATTCCAAAGCCAAGCTTCCAAAACGTTTAGGGCCCTGTTGGTCCCATTGCCTCCACAGAGCTTCCGCGGGGCATGTGTATTGGAGGGGTGGGGGGGCTGGCCCCACTGAACTCAAGGGACTGCGCGAAGGGGAAATGTGACTCGCTTTCCCAGAACATTAGAGAGGAAGGAGAAGGAGGGGAAGAGGCACCCCGAGCGCAGGAGCTCAAGGAAAGGTTTGAGACCCCTGCCCCTTTCATCTGAGGTGCGCAAGGACTCTCAACATGAGGATACCTCGGAGAGGCAAAGACCCCATCGCCCGAGCCCCACAATCTTGGCGGGAGAAAAGGCGTCCCCCAAGGAGCATCTGGAGAGAGGGAACGAAGACCACCGCCCCGGACATGCTGAGGGGCAGAAACGTGGACCTCCAAATACTGGGGAAGGAAGCCCGCACTCCCCTCTATGGAACATGGGGGTGCTGGGAGCGCGACCCCCGAGAGCTCCCCGAATCCAGTTTCGCCGGGAAGAGGGATCGGGTCCCCAGGGGCCCGGCGTGAGCTCGGTCCCGGCTGGACGGCCGCGCCTCGGGGGTCGGGGAAAGCCGACTGCGGGTCACCGCGACTCCCCCGCGCCCCCCGCCCGGCCATATTGAGTGCGTGGGGAGGGGGCGCGCTGTAGCCAGGGGCCGCTGCGCGAGGCCTCGCCCTCGCCCGGCCCTCTCCATCCTGGCCCCCGCCCCGGGACTCACCCTGGATCCCCCGGGGCCCGGACCCGCCGCTGCCGGCCAGCAGGAGAACAACAAGGAGGAAGAAGGAGGAGGCTCCGGCCGACTCCGCCATAGTAACCACCACCGCCGCCGCCGCCGCCGCCGCCGCCGCCGCCGCCGCCGCAGCCCAGCAGCGCCCAGCGCGCGCGCGCCCCCGGCGCCTCCCCTCCTCCCGCGGCCCGGCTCCCGCCTCCCTCTTCTCCGCCCGGCGCCGGCACGTGCACTGCCGGCGGAGCCGGCGCCGCGGCCGCCGCGCGCGCCCCCGAAGGGCGGGGCCGGGTGCGCGCGGGCGCCCGCCTTAAAGGGGAGTGTCCCAGTTAAAGGGGTGGGAGGGGTTCGCGCCTCGGCCAACCTCACCCGTGGGTGCAGAGCGCGGCGCAGAGGAGGCCGAGCCGGACACGCGACTTCTGCTCTGTCCTGCGCTCCCCGCAGCGCAGCGTGATCTTAACGGCACCGACCCCCATCCCCCGCATCGAATGTTCTACGAGTGCCGTGCGTGTTCCCGTTCCCTTCATCCCTACTGCTTAGCCTCAGGCTCCCGTCACGTTCCATCGCGATCGTCGCAACCTTCTCCTAACTAGTCTCCCAGCCTCAAGTGGCCCCCCTGCGATCCGCGGGACGCACAGCCACCTGTGTGATCGAATCATGGGATGCCCCTTTTCAGAACATACCGGGCTTTTTAATGACAGTACTCAGTCTTGGTGAGGGTGCCGTGTGAAGCACTCCCACTCTGCTGTAGGTAGAACCCTTTTGGTAAACAATTTGGCATTACATATAAAATGTCTTAGAATATTCATATCCCTATCCCCTGTCTTCAAGAAATAACAGAAATGAGGACAAATATTTGTGAGAAATGTTAACTGTTGCATGTTCATCATTGTAAAAAGCTGGAAACAAGTACTCAATAATAGAAGACAAATTATGGCCCATCCATATGATGGAGCATTATTTAGTAATTAAAAATTATGTTTGTAAAAATAATGACGTGAGGAAATGTCCATGAGATGTTAAATGCAAAAGCAAAATACAAAACTATTTACAATACTGTTCTAATTTTGTTGACACTATATATCTGCATGGAAAAAAGACTGAAAAGAAATTGCCAATATTATCAGTAGTTATCACCAGAATAATTTTTTACTTTTTCTGTAAACATTTCAGTATTTTCTAAATATTTTACAAATAAGCTAGTGTTACTTTCAAATTTAGAAAAAAATGCTTATAAAAGGTAAACTGAATCACCCATATCTTTCTGAAAAGAGTTCACTTTCCTTAGCTTGAAAAAGCACTTGAGATCACAAAAAGGACAGGGTTTTGGACCCAGAGTTCTGGATCTGAAACCTCCTTTTCTTACTGACTGGCATGAAAACGTAGGCAAGCTTTTTAACCTCTCTAAGCACAATTTCATCATCTGAGATGTAAGGGTGGAGAGGATGACCAAAGGTGGGAGTCGGGGTGGGGGGAGCTTCTCAAATGGAATCCCCACCTTTGAAGTTGTCACAAACCTGAAGAACACCCCTCCTCATATAAAGAAAAAAACTGGACTGTAGACACACTCCCCAGACACAACTCACATACAAACACACATGTGCAAAGTCTTGCAGAGGCACCATGTACACAAGAGTCAGTAGCTGGATTGAGCAAACACCTTATTTTTATACTGCTCTGCCTCAGGCCCCCAAAATGGGCATTCCCCCCTCCATTTTATCTAACTGGTCTCCCAAACTCTGTTCCACCCACCCTTAAGGGCTCCCAGCTGTGGTGGGCACAGTGTAAGGTTACTGTGTTAGTTTCCTAGGGCTGCCTTAACAGAGTACCACAAACTGGGTGGCTTAAAAGAACAGAAATTTATTCTCTCAATTCTGGAGGCTAGAAATCTGAAACTAAGGTGTCAGAAGCCCCATCCTCTCTCTGAAGGCTCTAGGGAAGAATCCTTTCTTGTCTCTAGTTTCTGGTGGTTCCCAGAATTCTTAGTGTTCCTTGGCTTGTGGAAGCATAATTTCAATCTCTGCCTCCGTCTTCACATGGCTGTCTTCCCTCTGTGTCTGCATCTCTGTGTCGAAATTTCTCTCTTCTTATAAAGACACCAGTCATCAGATTAGAGCCCACCCTAATCCAGTATGAGTTAAAATCATTTTAACTTGATTGCATCTGTGAAGATCCTATTTCCAAATAAAATCACATTCACAGGTTCTGAGTAGACATGAATTCTGGGGGCACACTATTCAACACAGGACATTCACCAACACACGCAGTTGGGAAGGGAAAGCTGACCCCTCAGGAGCACATTACTGAGACCAAGGGAGAGGAACTGTCCTTCCTTATACCTTGCTAAGTGCTGCCACTGTGGCTGCAAGGCCAAGAGTCGCAGAGGGGACCTGTGGTTGCTTTACTCCTAAATTACAAGGGCAGTCACATAGCTGAAGGTACAGCCCAGGGAATTAGAACGCTGGGTCCACAGACCAAATACCAGCTCACCTGATAGTCTTTGACTGTGGACAAGATATTTTACCTCCCTAAACCTCAATTCCCTCATCTGTACGTTGGAACTGATGTTAGTTCTACCTCACAGAGATATTGTGGGGATGGATGAAGGTACTGTCTTTAAAGCATTTGGCACAGCCTCTGACACCTAGGAAGTGATATAAAAAGAAAAGCTATTGTGATGGTGATGATTTCATCTTTACTACAATCCTATGAAGTGGTTGAGGCATGTCAGGGTGTCCTCAATGTACAGGTGAGGCAACCGAGACCTAAGGAAGGTAAGCCACTCGCCCAAGCTCATGTCTAAGGACAGCCTCCCGGTCCTGTGCTTCTTCAACATCACAGCATCTCATGCTTTTCCAGAGACTGGTTTTCAAGAGCCAGCTGAAGGTGGGAAATTAGACTTGATGGTGTTGGGGAGGGGTGCGTTATATTCCTCATACCCTATTCCTGAGAGTTTGCAGCAACTCCTCAAGTCAGAGTTTTTCCAGATGATGCATCTACCTTCCCTTTTAGGTCCCAAGCAGTACGGAGACAGACCGCCCAATCTCCCTGTGCTCCCTCCCACAGCCTGGCTCTTCTCCCATCGCTGAAGAGCTCAGCAAAGCACCCACTTCTATAAGCCTCCTGAATCTTAGGACTGGACCCACATCACATCTACGAACTACTCATCCGCCTTGCTCTGTCCCTTTGTCATGGGATTCCCCAGAGCTACCAGGATTTACTTCTCCGGGAAAAAGTCTTACTCCCCAGGCTCCACTGACTAGACCACCCAGTGTCACAGCTGCCATCTTGTTTACAACACACCAAGACACTCCACGGCAGTGAGAGGCCCGCGTACCGCAAAAAAAAAAAAAAAAAGATACCAAGGTAAAATTGCCCGATGTTTAGGCATGGCGGCACACGCGGAGAATGGAGGGTGAAGTGGGCTGGTGGTGGAGCTGAAAAGTAATGTGGGAGAGAGAGACAGATGTGGAAGTCCACATGGAAGTGTCCTTTTCTCCAGTATTCCTGGACGGGTTCTAAGCAGGGGGGTAAAGGGATCATATTTGTATTTTAGAAAGACCACTTTGTTGAACCAAATGAACTTGAACTTTGTGCAGATGGTTTGGTGGTAAGGAAACCTAAGAGCCCGTAGCTCAGACAAAATAGGAGGAGGACCTGACCCTAGGCAGCAGCAATGGAGATGGGAAAGAAAAATAGATTCAAGAGATTTTAAAGACGTAGAAACTACAAGATTGATTGGATGTGAGAAGTGAGGAGGAAACAGAGAAGCCCATTATGTTTCCAGTATAATCCGATGTGGGTGACTGGCTGCTTGGTGGCTAATTCAGCAGATTAGCAAGAGCAAGTTTGGGAAAAAGAAAATGAGCTCCCGTTGGACATACTGAGTTTGAAGGGCCTCTTGGAACCTGGAGCCATGGAGCTACGGATTGGAAATCAGCAGCACATCATAGTTACGCAGACAGCTCAGGGGTGTGCAGTAGTTCTGGAAGTACAGCAACACAGACAGGAAAGAGGAGACAGAGAAGGAACACTCAGAGAAATAGGAAAAGAACCTGGAAAAAAACAGAATCATGGAAACCAAGGCAGGAGAGGGTTTCAAGAGATCAGTAGTTTCTAATGTTGAGAAGGAGTCAAGTAAGTTGGGAAACAAAGAAAGTCTAGGATTTGATAACTTGAAACCCAGCGGTGACTTTTACTTGAGCAGGTTCAGTGGAAGGTGGAGTGGCGGCCTAACTTCAGGGGGCTACAAGTGAACGAGAGGTGAAAGCTTAGAAAGACTGAGTGTCAGACTTCCCTGGTGGCGCAGTGGTTAAGAATCCACCTGCCAATGCAGGGGACACGGGTTCGAGCCCTGGTCCAGGAAGATCCCACATGCCGTGGAGCAACTAAGCCCATGGGCCACAACTACTGAGCCTGTGCTCTAGAGCCCACGAGCCACAGCTACTGAAGCCCGCGTACCTAGAGCCCGTGCTTCGCAACAAGAGAAGCCACCACAATGAGAAGCCCGTACACCGCAACAAAAGAGTAGCCACTGCTTGCCTCAACTAGAGAAAGCCTGCATGCAGCAACGAAGACCCAACACAGCCAAAAATAAGAAAGAAAGAAAGAAAGGAAGAAAGAAAGAAGGAAAGAAAATTTTTTTAAAAAAAGAGCGAGTGTCATCTGTTCTTTAAAAGAACTTGGCTGTGATGGGAGGGGGAGATTTGAATTTCCTTCAGAATGATAGACCAGGTTCCCTGAGCAAAATTTCTGCTAAAGAAACAACCCAAAATGCTTGGCAAACTAGCAAGAAAGTGAAGAATATTCAAGTCAAAAACTAAGGAACAAAGAGAGGAAAGCAGAGAACCAAAGCTGGCTTTCACCTTGAGAGCATTTGTATACCAGGTGAACTTGAACTTTGGTGTTCTGAAGGTGAGCAGGATGCAGAGGACAGAAGAGAAAGTCCAGGACTGCCCAAGGTGTGGGAGTCTAATAAATCTTCCTCTGCTCAAATCTGAGACCCACAAGAGATAAGACGACACTCGGTCAAAGGATGAACTAGAAATAATTCACTCTTCCAGGAGGCTGCCAGGAAAATTGCCTGACTTGAACCTTGGTCCTGAGTGAGAAAAGAGGAACATCTTCCCTGAGAATTCCGAGCTACAAGTTGGCCTGCATCATT